ATTTCTTACTACATGTGCTGCTTCCTGCAGAGCCGCCCTGTAATGGCCCTGGACCAGAGATATTCTTTGCTTTGCTTGTTTGCATCCAATGCTATTTCTAATTGACTCTAATGTAACAATAATGGTTTTATTATCCCATATCAATTTAAAAAATTCAATAACACAGCAGTACTATTAACCTGTTTAACGATTTCTAGAATCATATTTACAAATAAAGACATACGTATGTGGTTTTCTGAGTTGCAGGTAACATTATGTGGCCTACTCTGCAGGAACACACTATCATGTTGTCCAGGAAGACTGCAAGCACGGTGAATGTCATTTTTTTTGAAAGTATCAACAGCATATATAAAATCAATATGTCAGTAGACACATCAATATTTTTTATAATCTGCCTGATCTTTAGCAATACAGCAGAATTGGCATAGCATTCCTAAAAATTACTCTTGTTACAGGGAGAAACATCAGTGGTCAGATGGCACTTGTAAAACCAGCACAGCTCTTCCAGTTAACAGAGATATATCTCAGGAAAATCAGCTTTTACCAGAGTAAATGCATCTATGCTCAGGTCATCTGCAAGCACAGTTGTGTTGTTCTGGATTTCCACTTTTTAACATGCATTAAGCCTGAAATGCAGCTGTAACCTAATATTTCAAGGAGGAATGTGCCCTCTTTAGAAAGATGCTACTCCATCTTGAAAATTTGGATAGAAAAGAAGAAGATGCAAATATACCCATTTACATTTCAACAGATTTTTGAGAGTCTTTTTTTATGCACATTAAAATGAGCAACTAGAAATCAATTCCCTTCAAGGCAGGAAATACGAGATACAAGCCAAAAATACGACAGCTATTTGACTGTAATTTATCAAATGGCATTACTATATTTTTCAGTTACATGCTATCTATAAAGCCTGAAAACACAGCTAAATAATAGATGTGCAATAAATTCATTGAGCAACCCACTTTATTTAATGCTAGCATTATACTGTGACTCTCAGCCCTACCCTTCCAGGTAGAGGCCCATTGGTGCTTGTTTCTGTTATTAATAATCCAGAGGATATACTTCTCGTGTCCAGTGACCTAGTTCCAACAAGTATCATAATATAGAGGCCTATTTTCCAGTTAATAAACGTGCATAATTCCTGTGAATATTACTACTGTTTATGCACACTTGCACACTCTAAGGCATATTCATCTAAACCCAGTGATTTCAAAACATCTGAAGCAAAATTTATTTGGCCCTCTAGACTGAAAGAAACCCTAAATAATGATGGGAATAGTCCAGCATGGTTTTTTTTTGTATATTTTATTTTAATGAGAATTTTGTATATTAATTCCTTCATCTCTCTGCCCACAATGCTAATGATGTTTTACATAAGATAGAAGAACTAAAGAGTTCTTAGGATAGAATAAAAAACAAAGCAACAACAACAACAAAACATAAAAAGAAGAAGGAAACAAGCAAGGATTTAGCCTAATGGCTGGAACATTCACTTTGGAGATGCAAACCATAGTTTCCAGACTGTCCACAGACCCACTAAGATACTTCATACTACTTCTAGCAGCAAGAGTTTGGTTGGAGTGCTGTGAGCAGACCAGAAGGACTCAATTCATCACAGGTAGAGAAAGGATACAGGGGGAGTATTAGCAGATTCAAACTCCTTACAAAAACACTTTAATTGATTCCAGATTTCCTACAGCTTGAAGAGTACTTAAAGCAGAGTGATAAAGATAAGGCTCTCATATTACCTTCCTTAAGAGAAAAAGTTAAAAGGACTCCAGTCACCTGATTTTGCTTTGACTTCTAATGTCCTACATATTTCTCTGGAGGAGAGGCTTGAAGGCTACCACTCCCACTGGAAACAGATGCATATGCCCTGAAGAAGTGTTGAGCCTCATGCACATTCCTGTCCTGAGCATTACCCTGTGGTTTTGCTTTGGCATACTGGCTTACTGCAGGCTGCCTTCATGTTTAACTTTCTCAGAATGGTATCCATGAGTTTCTTCTGCTGCCATGCTCTCTGTAGGCTGCTGGGGTAGCTAATGTGGAGCAGCATTTAAATCTCTTGGTGGTTCTGGGCCTATAGTGCATAAAGAAGTCATCAGGAAATTAACTCGAAAATTGTACAAGCCTTCAAGTAATTCAGCACCTGGAGTTAGACATGAGACCTAATAACTGGCTGAAGATTCTGCATCTGAACAAGAATCTGTGCACCAAAAAGCATACCACAAGTTTTGATGAACCTACAAGACTACAAGCAATGCTAAAAATACAACAGTAACAATTATATTTCCTCTTATTTGATGTTTATTTAAAAGATTGTTCTTGATGAAATATTTTCTATAAACACTGCCACTTAAAGTGCTGCAAATAATTTTTGTGTGTAGTCCATTTGCACAACTGCTATTTATTTTAAGCACTGCCTGATTTGTATTCCTAATGGAAACTTCAATAGCAAACATTTCCACGCCAAGCTACAGTAATTCCCCCCTTTTAGTCAATACAGTCTTCATCTACATCAGTAAACAGCACAGTACAATTGACACAAATTTGCAGTGAAACAGTTTGTGTTGAGGACCTGACATCCACATCACACATGTTCTGGATGCTTTAACTCAGACCAATGCTAGCCTGGACCTATGGAGTAAGTGCATGTCTATGAGCAGGCATTAGGAAGAGTAATACATTAGGTATGATTCCAGGATGCATTTTCTAAAAAAGTTTCATCCACAAAAAAGCAGCTTCTGTGCCCTAGGATTGTGCACCCACTCTGTAACTATACAAAAAATAAAAAATAAAATAAATAGTAACAAGAGATAATCAGGGCATTCACCTTAAAATAATGCTCCTGGGAATCCTAAAATGAACTTCCTTAGCATCTTAGCACAATGGCCAACACTCTTACCAATCCATGTGAAAATGTATGGAAATCATCTTCAGTAAAATCCTGTTCCAACCAAGAACTAAAACATCATCTCTCCCACTAAAAGTTCACACAGAGAAATTATGAACCAAGATGAGCTTCATACCTTCTTACCCTGAATACTCATTAAAGGAACTGAAATGTTACAAATGTTTGGATCTCCTGTTGGTGGCTTCCCTTGCAAAGATTAAATGTTGAGTTTGGGTTTTTGTCTGCTACCAGGCAGAACACCCTACAGAGAAGAGGTCCCTGTGACTGACAACACTCAGACCATTAGTTTCTCAGACAGCCGAGGGCATTAGTTTAGAAGAAATTCTGTGGCAGAAGGAGAAGTAAAGCTCTGGATTTACTACAGCTAATTGTATTTCTCTTCCACAAACTGGAAATAAATATACAACAGCGACATTACAGAGCAGATCTCACAAAGCATAACTACCAAAGCAAGGGAGACCATCTTATCTGATGTACACTTCTAAAAATATGTAAGGTCATAAAACTAAAAGCCAGATACTACAGCTCCCTAGGAATACAGGGCTGTCTCCAAATTTCAGTACTCTTGTACTCTTCATTTCACATTTTGCAGTACCATTTTGTAAATTTAATACTGAAATTACTCTCTGATGAGTGAAATATCTCGTGAATTTTCTGTGAACACTTCAAACAGCCTTTTGAAGGGAGGAAGTCCTAGCAGCTCTGAGCTATTTCAGAAGATGTTATCCCTCACAAAGCACAAAATCATAAAAAAAAAAAAAAAAAAAAGCAGTTTGCCAAAAAGAAAATTATGATTTCTAAAGAGTTAAACACTTGACATACTTTATTAGGAATATTTCATAGAGACCATTTACATTCCTGAGAAACACGTAAGAGAAATTATTAGATGTCTAATCTCGGGGTTGTACACCAAGTACTATTTAAAATAGAAGCTATAAATTATCAGTCAATAACAAGCACAATACCTGAGGCAGTAAAAATTCTTTCAACTGAAAATAACAGTTATTAAAAAGTCAGTCTTTTTTAAGAAAAGGATTGTGAGGCAACATCTCTAGCCATTAATATTAAAATATGTAGACAGAGGCTTATTTATGTAAGCTGAAGTTAGCAGTTTTTGCAAGGGCACTCATTAAAAAAGAAGGAGCTAGGTGAAAATTTACAGTCATCTGGTTTAGGGATGAAGAATTTCAGGACTGGGCTCTAGTACACATTTAGGAAAAGGCAGTCCCACTTTTCTGCAGAAATTGTCAGTTTACTCAGTATTAACTACTCACATTTGAAAGGCTTTTTTAAATTTTTTTCAGCCTGACATTGTATTTATGAACTGTTCTGATCCTATTCTTCATCTCTGCTATCCTGTATTTTCCTAATTAAAATTACTTTGAAGTCTCTGACCTTCAGGCAGACATTCAATTCTGAATTAAAATATAATTATCTTTGTAACATGAACACACTTTTAATGCAGCCCTTATGTACTTCCTGTTACAGAATAAATGCATACTAAATATAAGGAAAAGGCTGCATTGCATTTGATAAAATAATATAGAATTAGAAAAAAATAAACTGAGCAACCTGGCTTTCCTTTCACACCTATCAAGAGACAGTAGGGAAAAAACAAAGGCAGCAGTTAAAATTTAGAGAAGGAAATTCTTTGTACACAGTGCATAATTTACCTGCAGGACATACTGCCACAACACCTCACAACTTTTGTTGGAACTAACAGAAGGACAGTGTAGGTCCATCAGTCACAGGATTTATATTCCAGTGGTATTACACAGGCAGTGCATGGTTTACTGAACTGAACTGCAACCACTCAGTGAAGGTGAAACAGGCCCGTAAATTACAGAAAGTGCATTTCTTTGCATAACCCACAGGTTTTTTTTTTAAACTTTTGGTTCCAGTCACTGTAGCTATCAAAAGAGTTGGCATAGTGAGGGCAATACTTCCTATTAACCTCTCTGTATTCACCATTGCTTCTCACAGGAATTCCTTAGTCTAGAAGAAGAGCAGCTCAAGACCATGTGCTGCTCTGCACTACTTGTAACCTCTTGTAAAGCCAAACAGAAGGAAACTAATAACTTACCTTTACATAAAGCTGCTGAAACTCCTCAAGGTTCAGCCTACCACTTGGACAGTCCTTTAGAAATCCTTTGTACCACTGTTTTAGCTCATGTTCGTTGAACTCCGTGCTCTTCACCAGATCTTCCATCACCTCAGGGGCCAGCTTGCTATTCTGTTTCCCCATTCTGCCTTAAGAAGAAATAAATTAATATAATTAGCCAAGTTGCTGTGATCATTTTAAACTTGATTAGGGACAAAGCTCAAATGCATCACTTGTTTTGCAGTCACTCGCTGCTGCTTTTAGTCAAACACAGCTTTACAGATTCCCCCAGTGAACAGGAAGCTAGGCTATGTTTGAACATCAGAGGATGAAATGGTGACAAATACAATGTACTTCTATCATTCAAGGCCTGGACATGGACAGCTCATCTACCTTCAAATTAATGATGAAAAGAAATATCTTGTCTTTAATAACAATATCACCTAAGTGAAAGATTTATTTTCTTTCTGATTTGGTGAGAGATTATTCCCCATCCTTTGGAAAGTACTATCTCATTTCACTGCAGTGCTACTACCACATCACAAAGTTGCCTCTATATTAGTGATTCCTCTAATTCTTAGCTTTTCTTCATATGAAGGCTGAAAACATTGACTTCACTTCTTTCCTTTTTTTAAAAAAAAAAAATTGTAACAAAAACTTTTCACACATTCAGGGATATCCACAGAATCTTTCTCTTGACAATGTCTCTGACATGACATTGGCATTAGCAGCTACTCCTCACAGGTACAGGGCTGTTGACAGGCTGCACTGTGGGGAAGTTATGACACACACAGCATCACTGTTAACTCCAGAGATATCCATCACATTTGTCATATGCACCTTGCAATTCATGGATACAAAACACACAGAAACACAAAATATGCATGTTTGCATATGTAAGTACAGAACTCCCAGAGATACTGATGTTAACCTTTCCTTAGAGATATCTTCAGAGATAATTTTTTAAGAAATCCTTTCCTTTAACCTGTTCCAGTACTACTGAACTACAGTTAGTTCATGACAGGAGATGTCTCTTAGTTACTCTGTAATTGCATGACACACAGTACTTAACTTGTCCTGCACAGTTCTGCAAAGAGATGAATAATTTCTTGCCTGAGCCTAGCTTAGCATTTCCATTTTTATCTTCCAATATAGCATCAGTCTCTAATGACAGCACTGCACTGAATGCATTGGTTTCTAGTCCACAGCACCACCCATTACTGATATTAATCTATCGCTTTTGGCATCTTCTCCTATTTCTATGTTTCTTTCTTTCCCCTCAGAAAGAGATACTTTGTTCTGTTCCAGCAAATCAGTATATTTAGAAAACTTCTTCACAGGAACCATCCTTGATCAGGCACAAAGCTTCCCATTCCTCCCCACTTCTGCACGACCAATACATCCCCAGGTGCCATGCTACCAGCAGCATCCCTAGCACTGAGAAGGACAAAGTCATTCTACAAAGCATTCAGCTCATACAAAATCGAGAAATCCAGTCTTTGTAAAGTGCAAAGGTCACTTCAGCACAAACACTGGAGAGCTCGACCTTTCTGTTAACTCCCATAGGCCTAACTGTATGTGCAGGTGTCTAGTAACTACCTGTTTTGCTGATTGGTGTGTTGCAATTTATGGCATGTAGAACAGTTGCCCCATCCTTTTTTGTCTTTTTTTCTTCCTTCTCTAAACAATATTACCCTTTGCAGTCATAAGGTGCTTTGCTTAGGACCCAGAGGACCCTTAAAAATTCTCATCAGCTGTAGCAACTACCTTAGGTAGTTTCACAAGGCAGCTTCTAAAGGTTGAGGGAACTGGGTTTTTTAGCTTGGAGAAGAGAAGGCTCTGGGGAGACCTCATTGTGGCCTTCCAGTATTTGAAGGGAGCATATAAACAGGAGGGGGAACGGCTGTTTACAGGAGTGGATAGTGATGGAACCAGGGGGAATGGTTTTAAACTGAGACAGGGGAGGTTTTGGTTAGATCTTAGGAGGAAGTTTTTCAGTCAGAGGGTGGTGAGGCACTGGAACAGGTTGCCCAAGGAGGTTGTGGATGCCCCATCCCTGGAGGCATTCAAGGCCAGGCTGGATGTGGCTCTGGGCAGCCTGGTCTGCTGGTTGGCGACCCTGCGCATAGCAGGAGTTTGAAACTAGATGATCATTGTGGTCCTTTTCAACCCAGGCCATTCTATGATTCTAGATCTCATAATTTAGTCAGGTATGCTTTCAACTGACTCATTTCACGTGGATCTTTACCCTCATTAATATTTACCTCAGTGTTAAAAAAAAGCATCTTCAGATGGGCAAAGATCTGGTATTTCTGACTGACAGATTTTCTGTTATTGCTAGTGTAAAAATCACTTTTCTGCATTCACTGTGTTTGCTTTACAGTCCATGAACTTACACTGTGATGGAAGCAGACAGAACCTGTTCCACAGTTTACTATGTTATTACTGCTAGTGTGGGCACAAAACACCACACAAAATGGAGCATGTCTGCATGTATGTAAGAATAAAGAGCTGGACAAACATCCACATATGAAACCTCTTCTAGTATCAGATACAGAGAGACAAGACAGGGCTTTTCTGCCTTGGTGATGCAGGCCTCTAGTTTTGGTGAGCTTGTTCAGACATAGGGTTCGTTGAGTCCTAAAAGCTTCCACCCTCTACTAAATTAATGAAAAGCATGGCTAAGATCTTAATAAAGACCTACCACAGAACCAAACCAGTATTTGAAGAAGGTATAATTTGGGACTGATGGGCTTTGTACTTTTACCTGCTGCTCCAGTACAGTATGGGACATGCTGTGCCCTGCTCTGTTTGAGATGAGGGACTGCACAAGCTGACCAAGCTGGTCACAATGCCTTCCTGTAATTAGGCACCCATTCTTTCTTCTCGATTCAAAGCTCTTTTCCTACAGAATTGAATTACAATCTGTAGGAATACTCAAGAGGCTCATATAATTATCAAATCTAAATGCACACTTCTGGCTCTGGGAGATACAGCTTATTTGGGAATAAAAACTCAAATACATAGATTATCTAGTTAATCACATTCTAACATCTTCTGGAGTTTCATTGAATCTCTTATTATTATTGAAAAAGTACAATCACCCATTAGCAATGAGTATGCCACTGCCAACACATTTAATTCTCTAAAATGAAAACTACTTTTAATTAACTTATAATCATGGTTTCCCAAACATGTTTTTTTTTTTTTTTTTCCTTGTGAAGATCTATGAATATGTATTAGGAAAATACAGGAGAGCACAGCTGCACAATCAGTAAATCTTCAAGAGGAAAGGTCACTCTGCAAGCATTTCTTTGTCTAGTAAATTTTATTCTTTCAAACCACAAATTTGCTTCCAACTTCCATGCTTCCAACCACGCAACGTGACTATTCAAGCAGTGTTATTCATTTTCTGTTGCATTTTCTGATCATTAAAAAAAAAGAGGGGGGAAATAAAGAGCAAAAAAAAAAGGCAACATGCTTTGGTGCCAAATAAGTATGGGGGAAAAATTCATGATAAAGAACGAATAAGCGAAGTGGGTGGCTTTGAGCATGGGTAAAGGTGTCGAGTTTGTTCTCAGTGAAATTTCTTTAGTAGGAGACTGCTTATTAATATTAGCAAGAGCAATACAGTGCAGATTAGAGATCAAGAAAAATACTGAAACTCTTATGTTGTGTCACACACAGCAACAGCAATAAAGGCTGAACTTATGCATCCTCTTGGCTAAAGTGCTGCAAGAGACCATCAGCCACCCACAGACATCGTCCTCCCAGAAATGCTTAGGCCAGCAGGATGTCAGGTGTCACACAGCAGCACCTGAATGGCTGCTTTTACACTTGGAGGGGCAGTTTTAAAAGCTGGAATTTTATTGAAGAACAGATTCCAAACCTGCGGCAGCCCAGACTGTGCCAGCAGCAGGCAGGGAAAATACGAGGATGTCTCCCAGTTCTTCCCTGATGAATCATTTGTTCAATATCTTTCCTGCGATGCTACCCCATGTTCCACATGAGGTTCAGACATTTAAAAACTCCCTGCTCTCCATACGGCCATCACCCAAATCCCCTGGCCAACGGCAGGGCTTTTCCCTGGAGAATTTTGCAGCTCGAGGTTGACAGGTTTGTCAAGTCTGCATTTCCCACATGGTTTGCTAGTACTAAATTACCAGCGTGAGATCAGATTAATAATGAAATTAATAATGAAATTAAAGTTCTGATTATTAAAACCTAAGCAGAAGAAAAAAAAAGTTAAATTTCAATAGCAAAACATGACTTACAGAAGCTCCTTTGGTCTTTAATGATTTCAAAACAACACCAAACTGTTGCTAACACAGCTCCAGTCCCACCTGCTTCCTTTTTCCCTTTCTCCCTATTCCCCTTTGGCCTCCTCGGCAGGTTTTCAATTTTGAAAGGTACCAAGTGCAAACAAATAGAACTCTGGTCATTTCTATGGAAGAGTAAACAGTACTGCTAAAGATGTCACATTTTGTGCTGAAAAAGGATCTAAATTCCCTTTGAAAAGACAGCAACAGCAATGTCCAGTCAGGTCTCCAAAAATCCAGTTTTGTGCCTTTTTGCTTGCTTTGCTTACATCAGTTATATAACACTATTTTCTTACCCAGTTGCAGTAAGAAGAGTGTTGCCAGCAGGTGGAGAGAAGCGATCCTTTCACTCTGCTGAGCACTGGTGAGGCACATCCAGAGTGCTGGGACCAGTTCTGGGACCCCAGTACAAGAGAAACTTGAGCATGCTGGAGAGACCCCAGTGTAGGGCCAGGAGGGGGCTGGAGCATATGTCATACACAGAGAGGCTGTGGGAGCTGGGGCTGCTCACACTGGATTTCAGAAGGCTCAAAGGGGATCCTATCAGTGTGCAAGTTCCCAAGGGGTATTCAAAGAAGACAGAGAGAGGCACTACTAGTAGTGAGTAGGGAGATAAGAGGCAATGGACACAAACTGAAATTCAGGAAATTCTGAAAGCTGTAGAAAAACTTTTTTTTTTTTTTTTTTAGGGGTACAGGTTACCCAGAGAGGTTGTGGAGTCTCTATCCCCAGCAATAAACAAAGTCCTACTGGACACGGCCTGCCTGAGAACCCTGCATGAGAAGGGTACTGGACTACAGTGTCTCCAGAGGTCCCTTGCAACCTCACTG